TCGTTTACGCGGCCCTTCCAAATTTTCCATGATCACACTAGAATTCACACTGCACCTTGCAAGTTGCAACTAAATGACATTTAGTAAACTGTCAAGAATACACAACTTGGACCTCCTTACTAAATGGAAAACCTATAATCGCATTTTCGGTGAAATTTGTTGGAAAGATATTTATCTACTTATAATTCGATTACTGTAAGAAATTCTTGGAATTAAAATAAAACAAAATTGGCAAATAGGTACTTATTGAAAATAATCTTAAGATACGGCAATGTAATCTTTAATACACAGGGCTTTTGGCCTGTCCAAACCTTTTTCTATTGTTCTGTACAGCTTATGTTTATAAAGGATCAATAAAAGACCCAAAACTTGTAATAGCTCAGGTACATTTATTACAATTTTAGGAAATATTTAGATTATTCTGTAAAAATATTTAAAATGACCGTACTAGCATTAGAAATGCTGTTTCATTACTCTCTCATACATAAAAATAGACTATAATGTGGAGCCTAATCGAACGAACATACCGAAAGATGGTGCCGTGTAGTGGCACTTAGTTAAACCCTACAAAAACAATACTAGTAGCCTTTTCAAGGAAAAGAAAACTTAATCTAAAAACTGTTAAATTAAACGGGATAGATATAGAATGGAGAAATGAAGTCAAATATCTAGGCCTAACCCTGGACAATAAGCTTCTCTGGAACACATCTGAGAAGAAAGTAGTAAATAAGACCACAAAAGCCCTAATGGTATGCAGAAACATTGCAGGTAAACGATGGGGATGTAACCCAAACATACTGCGATGGGTGTATACTGCAATAGTGACACCAATTATCACTTACGGGGCTATAGCCTGGAGTAACAGAACTGGTTTAGCTACTACGAGAGCTAATATCTCAAAAGTACAAAGACTAGCCGGTGTTTGCATTACTGGTGCAATGAGAACCTTTCCTACGGCCGCAATGGAGGTAATCTTAAACCTCGTCCCTCTACATTTGATGATAGAGAATGTGGCAAAAAGGACACGATATAGAATGATCAGTAACGGAGTAATCAGACGAAAGTCTACTTGCTTCAGGACTAAAGATATCTGGAACATGCCCCAGGATGAAATGCTAAAAAAGTACAGTTTTGTGAAAAAAGCTGGGCTGCAAGAAAGAATGGAACCAAGAATCCATCGCGCTTGCAACCGAAAAACGTGCTATTCAGTAGTATACGGACGATTCCAAAACCATAGAAGGAACTGAAATAGGAATATATGGGCCGAGAACCAAGCACTCCGAAAGCTAGGGAAAATACCTAAGTATCTACTAGGCGGAAATTCACGCGATCGAGAAGTGTATCCAGTTTAACATCGAGAGAAACTATAATAGACAAGAGATTATCATCATGTCCGATAGTCAAGCAGTCATAAAAGCGCTGAGCTCTTACATAATCAGCTCAAAAATGGTCTGGAGATATCTAGAACAATTGAATGACCTAGGCAAGAAAAATAGTGCTCTCTCACTTGGGTTCCGGGACATAACGGGGTACAGGGTAACGAGATTGCAAGGAAAGGGGCTCAAACACCCTTTGTAGGACCTGAGCCGTTCAGCGGTATCAGCAGTAACATAATATTAGAAGAGAATAAAAAAGAATTGGGCAGTAGAAGAACCGATAATTGGAACAATCTCTTGGGGCTGAGACAGGTCAAAATACTTCTGGGTGAATATAACCAGAAACGATCTGCCTGATCAAGAACAAGCTACGTATTGCAACAGGGATCCTTACCGGGCATTGCCGACTAAAAGAACACCTACGTAAACTGTAGTAGAGGAGTAGAGGATAGTTAGTGCAGATTCTGTGAGGAGGCGGATGAAACCTCCATTCACATCCTAACTGAATGTGTAGCACTACAGAATTTAAGGGCACTATATCTAGGAGGATATTAAATAGAAGAGGGAGATTTACCTAACTTGAAGCCACTTCAAATCCTACACTTCCTTGAGAAAATAAGATTGGAAGGGTCGTTATAGGCATTGAGACATTTCCTTAGTGCATTGGCGACAGAAGGGGGCACAATAGATCTTTTAGGTCGCAGTGTATTAACACCCCATTCCCAACATAACATAGTTGACAATTGTTGGCAACAGTTTGATGACTTCCTTAAACAAATATAAGTAGTAAAATTATAATTAATTTAATAAGTTTAGTTGTTTTGTTATTAAATCAGAGAAATGACGCCTTTATAAATGGAAATATGCAGAGTATGTCTAAAGAATGACTTTCTTAGAAAGAACCTTAGTGGAATCGACATTAAAGTAATCAAAGAAGTAGTTCAATTAAAAGTTCATTCATTTTGGCGTAATTCTTATTTAGCTATTCCACGCAGGTGTACATACTTTAATCTTGCTCTAGATATTATTATCTAAGTATAGGTAATATACGACATAACTTTTTTATTTATTTATTTATCAATCATAATTAAAAAAGGCTTCTTTATGCTATGGTAAGACTAACGCACACACAGCGATGTAATCTTTACCATTTTATCTATTTTACATTGCATATTTTCTTCTTCTTATTTTTTGGGCTATGTTGCTAGGAGCAATTTTATTATTAGGAATTTTTAATAGTAGGTATTTTATTTTTGTAAGAAAACTTTAGGTATATGTGATGTGCCGTCGTTTTTTGCGAGCAACCTTGGGATACTATGATTTAAATTCTATGTATTTATGTATTTTTGTAACCTTGTATTATTAATTAATATTATCTGGTACTTAATACAACAAATAAATAAAATCAAAATCAGTACAGCTAATTTGCAATGTCAAGGTCATAAAGAGTGATAGAGATACAAGTATATGAAAATATTAATACCAAATTTAAAAATACCTTCTTACTTTTTCATTTTTATTTTATTTTAAGAATGTATTTACGCAATTTATCATTTCAAATATTATTAAAAAAAATATTAATCGAAATTTATTTCTACTTGTTTGTTTATAACGGTGTCTGTGTTTAAATATCGCATGTGACAAGTTTGATAACTGCATAATTAACTTTAATGATTCATATAAAATGATTCATAGTCCAATTCGTTAGTTTTATTTGAACAATTAATATCACCAGGATATAGGATGTATAAAATCTGATATTGCTTAAAAATTTCAATAAAAAAAAACGCAAGAATTGAGTGGGTTCTTTCAGCCGCCATATTTTATTTTAAAATAAACAAAAGTTTACTCTACACAAAATACAAATGCTGCTGATAATATTAATTGATTCATTAGGTTAAAAGTTAAAGTGTTGTAAAAAGCATATTATGTACGATTGGAAAAGTTTACAACACGTATTACGTACTATACTTTACCGTCGACAACTTCTTATACAGGTAAATATACGTGTAAATACTTCTATAATCTGTTACAATTCAACAAACTTCAAGATAAGATAGTACACTTAAAAATATAAAAAAATCCTATAAACATACCTTCTAAACAAACAGAGTAGGAGAGTTGCTCATCAATTAGAAATATCTAAGACAACTGCTAGACGAATTATTAAAGAAAACGACCTGCGCCTTCTATTAGTAAAAATTTGTAAGGGTATGTCGCCAGCCATACATGTAACAGGCCATGTAATGACAGGAAAATAGGAAGAGTGGTTACGTTAGATTTTGGACTTCACGCGTACTGACACTTGAAGATAGGTGATTTGTTTTATGTTGTATTTTCGGCCATCCCTTACAAGTTTTAAAGCCAGAAGACTATCGTCGGTTATTCATCGGGAGGATTTGAATTTTGTAAGGACCACTAACGGAACGACATTTACAAAAGTGGTATACTAAGTTTGCATAAATTACACCAATACGCACATAAAAATCCTCATTCCATTGTTCAAACCCGTTCAAAAAGAAATATTCAGTTAACGTTTGAGTAGGGATTCAGGGATTGTGGACAATTATACGCAGAATCTTTTTTTTATATTTAGGAAATTAGGACGTCTCGAGTATTTTAACTTTTTACAAAATGACCTCCATGAACTTTTGGAAGTTGTTGATTTAAAACTCCGGCAACTAACCTAATACAGCCTTGTGGTATGGTACTTTTTACACCAATTGTTTCCTGATCCAAGGATTGGCAGAACAGCTGATGTTAGAATTACATTTTTTTAAGTTTTTTTAACCCATAATTGTGTTTTTTATTTTGTAAATTGACCAATTTTCTTAAAAAAACACACATGTAAGTACTTTTTATTAACCTATAATAACAATTAAGTCAAATAGAACAATGCGTGAGCATCAACTAACAGCCTGACCTCACTATAGCACTCAAGGCGACCCATCATTTCGTTCTGCCTGTGAGAGTACAGTCGACGGTTCGCTACTACCGCCATCACTTCCCGCACCCCCCACTCTTGACTGCCAATGTTCTTTACATTATATTACAATGAGTAATCACACAAAATTTGTTTACCTGCTAACATCTTACCAGTATTATTGGAGGTGCGATTTTTGACCAGGGGTGGACGTAGAAAAAAAAATAAAAAGGTTTTGAGGCTCATTAAAAACATTTTATCAATGCCGATAAGTTTTTCTTCAACTGTAATTTAGCATAAATGGTGCTAACTCCATATAAAGCTTTTCTTAAACGACATATTTTATTTTATTTTGCTTTAGCCTTCAGAAATTGACATGTTGATATTTTCTTCATCTATTAGAGAATCATATAAATTTTTTTTTATATCAAATTTTTAAGAATGTATTTCTTCTAAAAATATTCTTAGCGAAGTGATATCTAGGGACTAAAGACTTCTTCATTGTCTTTACATTTTTGTTGTTAAAATCCTCTTACCAGCCTAGCTTTGTACTTCTTACTCTAAAACCCACTTGCTAGTCAAACTTTTACTTTCATTGCACCCTTCAGTGTCTACATATTCCCAAGTTATAAAAATATTAAGAGAAAAAACAATTATCCTAAACAGTTTATGGGCCCAGGATATTCTGAACAATAACTTACCACAAATGAGCGCTAGTCCAAACAAATCGGTATCGAGCATACCCTGAAGGGCGAAGTGTCGGCATGTCTGCTGGTAGAGTTCCTTTACCCTGGACTTGGCCTGCACGATGAAGTAGAGAGTCTGTTGGTGCAGCACGTGGAGAGCCAAAAAACGAGCCGACGGCGGGAGCGCTGCTGCCGGGCTGCACGCGGCCAAGGGGGCGCTCACCGTGCACAGACCGGCGCGCATGACACGCTCATCTCTTCAAGGAGGAGTCCCGCTCTCACCTGAAACAAAACAACTATCTTAATCGAACTGAAAATACATGTCATAATTATTATTAGGTTTCTTCGTGTTTTTAGTTTTACTTGTGCGGAACCGTTCAAGACATGCGTAGTAGACTAAAAGTGTAAAAGTTCTGAACAGAGAGTCCTATGTTTGAGTTTTTTTTAGAACGATTCTGAACTGTTTTAAAGAGTTCTATGTCATTCTAGCCAAAAGTGCGAACAGACGAAAATCGTTCTAGTCCACATACTTTGATTTTCTTTTACTATACGGAGAATGGTCGCACTGCGCAGCTTTCTGAGTGCCTTTTAAAAGGAGATAGAAAACTCCGAAATTTTGAACCCTTATTACGTGTTGCCTACATCTTGGCGCAATATATTTAATAGGATAATATTATTTTTGAAGTCACAGTTTATTGCTAAAGAATCAGTTAGCTCACTCGGACCAGTTGAAAGTTCCAAAATAACATCCACTCCAGGGATACAAATTCAGGATACGCAGAAGACTGCTGTTTTATTATAGGCGGTTGTCATATATTGTATTATCCGAGTTGCACAGTGTATAAACTGAAACATTGAGATCAAAAGTGCCGACGCAGAGTGAGCGATCTGATTCTTTAGCTGTAAACTGTGTCACAGGGTTCAAAATGGCCGCGCCCTATGTTGGGCGTGTCGGACCTCTCTCTTGCCTCGTATAGTAATCAAAGTATGTGCCTTGAATATGGAATTATAGGAATTTGACTGAGAAAAGTAATTATCTTTTTTTTTCTTTAAACTAAGAAGAACATATTAACGGTGACTGACCTTCAAAAAACGTAACCAAAGCATTCCAATTTTATTTATGTTAGTTTTTTTTAATGCTAAATAATAATTATTTTACCCCACAATCTTGGCAAAATCAATTGACAGTTGATAATTTAGATGTTCGTGTTAATGTCTAGTCCAAAACTGTTCGGAAGAATTCCAAATTTGTGCCACTGAGCAACTAGTTCTGTGCAATTTTAGAATAGTTATGTTTTGAATAACATAAACAAACCTATTGTAAATCTCTTAGGTAAATCTGTTACTAAAAATCAAAGTATGTGTACTATATTGATAAAAACTAGATTTTTAAATCGCTTTACTTAGTGTCCTACTTTATCGACTATTACAAAGGGGTTTAGTTCAACCGTAGGCGCTTAGCGCGCTACTGTCGAGGTCAAGCAAACTTGTTACCAACTATTTACGGGGAAAACCTTAGAATATATATAGTCAGGAAGGAGGAATCCTAAGCGACCTTGGAATCGCGATGGTATCTAATTTTGACAGTGAACTAGACGAATATGGCGATAAGTGTTTCCGGTCTACCAGTGGCGTACTGTCATAAAGGGGCGTAGAAAAATTTTTTTGAAACCATTTATCATATGATTATGAGTCATCCATGGTACAACATGGCTATCACTTCCGTCAAATTGATTAGATTAACGCGGACATGGCATGCTCCTTCCTGACTACATATGTTCTAAGAGGAAAACGACCCCAGTGGTAAAAAACATGTTTCAAAATTTGCAAGTTTTGTAAAAAAAAATCCAACCTAAATAATATCTGAGGAATAAAATTATAATGGGTATTTTTTGTGTTATTGTAAACATAACTATAGTTCACTCATTGAGAGAATACTAAAGGTGTCCGCTCTTTTCTAATACCCTTTTACGTCATGTGTCAAACTCAACCTGGTGAAGCTAGCCAGTTTTGGTGAGAATAAATGCCATTTATTTTTAAATAGCTTTATTTAAATGATATAAAAACATTTTTATTTCGTCAATCTTCAAATATAAAATTACTGACTTCAAATAAATCAAAGTACGACTCCAAGTCGCCATTTTTATTACTCGTTAAGGGCATTCATCTGTCATATCGAAGAATAATGTTTATGTCGCCTCTACTCCATTATATCTCGATGAGTTCAGTACTAGATTTTAATTTAATTTGTTTTTTATTTATGACGTTGGAAATAAGTATTTTTTTATTAATAAGCATTAATGATCTCATTGAGAATATTGAAGTAAAAAATATAAAATTATGCCTTATATGATTCACAAGACAGTTAATTTAATAAAAATAAATAATCTATAAAAAAAAATGAAAACGCTTTTACAGACATTTTCATTTCATCTTGAAATACAGTCTCCAAAAGGTATTCATCCGTAATTTTGCTTGTTTTTTTTTATTTTTCCTCGGAATTTGAAATATCTTGATTTAAAATAAACGAACTGCTTAACATGCTTTGGCCATTAGTGGGGAAAGTGAAGATATTTATTCTGTGTTTATTTTTTTAATTTAAAAAACGGTAACCTTTTATTGTACCGCATAATTTTAAAAGCCAGATCAATGGTGTAGATAGAGCTTGCTTCGACCAGAAAACCGAAATCTCAAATAAAAAAATCTAGTAGACTTCCAGAAGACTAATGGCAAATTTCTGAGAATATAATATTTGCCGGTTTTCTTTTTGGATTCTGATGCATATAAATATGTATACTAAGACATGATATAACACAGATGTAGGTAGGGAGACGCCATGCTCGATATGCGTGAGGAATTTTAAAACTGTTACAAAAAGACATCATTTTGAAGGCCATGAAGTGAGTAAATGAATGTTTTACAGTAATTACGTTTGGCAGTAATAACGTTTGACAGTAATGATGCTTGACAGTACTGACATTTGATAGTACTGACATTTAGCGTAATGATCTATAGTGAAGAATTATTTAAAATATGACAAAAAAACATCTTAGATGCTATCAAGTGAAGAATTATTTAAAATATGCCAATTAAAAACCTCTTGTGCCCAAATTATTAATGTCCTGGTAAAGTGACAGTTAAGGTTATCCTCATAGATAAAATAATACGGTTATATAATAATATATATAATATAATATATAATAATAATATGGTTATCCTCCTGTTAAAACAAAAATTGCAATTTTGAATGTCCTGTTACGATTTATCTTTAGGATAACCATGCTCTAACTGTCAGATAGTAAACAGCAACTATTTTCGTTCGTTAAGATTTAAACAATGACTAACAGGAATAACTAAAGTATAAAGTGACAGTTGTCATTGTCAAAAATAAAAAAATGGATGTATTTTTTGAAATTGATATTTTTCAATCATTTCCTGACGACGATATAGAGGATATCGAAGATTTTCAAAATATAATCGTTAGAAAACCTAGAAATGTGGGTTATAATTGTGTTGATATGAGGTTAAACTTTATCCTGCCAATTACTAACATTAACTTTACCAGGTGATTAATAATTCGGCCTTTATACAAAGATAATTATCGAAAAAACTATATTTAATGCGAATCTTTAACAGTTTATCATTTGTCTTTAATAAAAACATTTTAAAATCAATACCAGTCATATTTAATTAAAAAATTCTAGCACAAGAACTCTTTATACTTTAATCAAACAGACTATCACACATCCGACTCGAACATCCCATAAAGAAAAAAGAAGAAGAAGAAGAAAGGAATTCACGTCAACTTTTAAACGAAACCCAATATGTATTCAAATGAAACAAATTCTTTTCAGTGCGTATTCACGACTTGGTCCTCGCTGACGACTACTTGTGGCAGCTGTGGTCTGTTCCAGCCGAAGATATGGACATAAGTTTCAATACAATGGCAGTTTTATTTCATTGGTATGCAACCTCGACCTAAAATTCCTTCGACGAATCTGTTTGATAAAGGAATATACATGGGCAATGCGTTATAGTTTATTTGAAAATGAATGATAGCAAAATGTTTATGACCCATGAGATAAACCCCAATATAACATCATTAATCCGTGACAGAGAATTTCTAAAATAAAATGTCTTCAATTTTCTAGTCATTTTAATCAACAAGAATAAGGTAAGTATGTAATCTCTATAGGTAGAAAATATTTACAATTCAAGATCAATTTAGGTAGCCCTCAACTTTCTTAGAAATTATAAAAATTTCTAATCGGCAGAAAGTATTATGCAGATTGTAAATTATTTTTGTTAAGATTTGCATTTCTGTTTGTATATTTCTGTGATATTGATCAAGTGAATTTGTGCAATAATAATGGCACAAACGTCTAATTAAAGTGCTATTTAACAGTTCATATGAAAACTTTTGTGTTATATGTACATGACGCTCTTGTACAAGAATATTTCGACAGTACTGTTCGGAGTATAGTTTCTAAGTGTTCAAATATGACCGGAGTTGGAGAAGCAACCATTTATAGACTTTTGAAGCAACGAAAGGATGGAAGTATTACAGTAGTAACTAAAACGTCAACTGGGAGAAAACCCATTCAAATAGATGGTATTGTTGAAACAACTGATCCGAAGAAATGTACATTCGTTTTATTTACAAAAAAAGACACCTGCATTGGATAAACTTTTAGTAGACATAAATGAAGACGAAACTTTGCCAAACGTTAAGAGACAAATTGTGGAAAACTTTACATGAATTAGACTTTATGGGAGAAGAACGATAGAAAATCTGCGCTTATTGGGAAAGATGAAATTATATGTTGGAGGAGACAATATTTGAGGAAAATTAGAAAATTAGGAAGAGAAGACAAAAATATTTTTTATTTTGATAAAACACTATAGCCCCCAAAGCTTTCTACGTCACCATTTGGCAATTCTGCTACATATTCATTCGTTGGCTGTTAGCTTTTTATTTTTCACACTATATAACATACATGTGGGTGTAAATATAATTTTTCTACGACCGCTTAGAGGGCGTCCATTAATTACGTGAGGTATTTTTGAGGATTTTTTTGACCCCTCCTTTCCCCCTGGTGATATTTCGTAAGATTTTCCTCAAACACCTCCCCCCTCCCCTAATCTCACGTAAGATTTTTCAAAATTTGTGTTGTGAATGTAAATGCGTTGGATTATTAAAAAAAAAAACAAAAACCCAATATGTTCTATTACTTTTATTTAAGACTAGCAAAGACTAGTATTTGAGAATATTGCCATAATAT